TACAGTAAGAAATCCTTTACCCTCCAGTAACGAGGAACAATGCTTATTAATTTTATATCAGTTACCGTTACCTCTAGTAACGGAGAACGCTGGTAACGGTAACTGGTAACTGTCACAGCCCTAGTTCAGTTCAGACACTGAAAGTAATTCTGGAATTCCCAGTAATTCCGCATTGAAGAAATTTAGGGAATTCCGGCATAGAGTAAAGCTATATGCCATTCATCACCACAGTGTTTATAATCAGCGGATCTAATCCGACGCTTGTTAATGTCCTATATACATTTAATATCAGTTACACTATAGGAACAAACTATAATTGGTAAACTATCACCATTTACAATGACAACAAATGATCTAAATCGTAGTATTATATTTGATACGACTAGAGTTAGTTTAGTTAGTTTTGGACCCGATTTTCCTTGATTTTGGTGCAGTGCTTTTTCGACTTACTTTTAATCCGATTTTGCAGAGAACTCAACAGAAGGACTCGGTGTTTCTTCCTCAGCACGCCGTGTTTTCTCGTTAGAACCCCATCCTTTTCCCTTAGAATTGAACTTTGTTGTAGGTGCATTACGTAATGTCGACGAGCTCAATCTGCCCGTAATATTCACAGGTCTTCCAAACATTTAAGTTCGGAGATGGGATTAATAGCACCATTAGAACTCTCTTTCATGCCAGAGATTGCTTCTTCGGCAAAGAGAATACATTTACCGTAGAAAAAGGTTAAAAAGAATTAGAGGGGGATCTTTATCCATGAATAGCACGAATTCGAAATTGAAACTTGAAGAAGCCCGAAAATGTTCTTATCTTTTACGTATTAACACCGATTCTTCCCTACCAACCTATTCCAGCTCTAACAGAATTCTAGGATCTGTGTTACTCTCGCTAGGTTAATACTTTGGTGAAAGAATACATAAATAAATATATAAATAACGGGTGGCGCATAATAAACGGGACACTGTTGTTCTTTATTTTTAAGGCACTTTCGAATGATCCAAAAATCTGGCTCTAGTCTCATTCGATAGAAAATTGAATTCTCTACAAAACCTGCTTTTTGAATCTCTGATAGCATTTTTCTCGTTTGAACAGCACTCAAAATATTGAATAGTGCTAAATGCTCAAACTGCGACGTGCTTTTGTTATATGCTTTTTTGAGATTCTTAGCCCATAAAAGTTGAGAAAAAAAGTTGTTTTTCGTCTGAAAAAATCACCACTCTGTCGAAAACGAATTTGCTGACCTAAGTAGAACGAACGTTTTGATATTTCAGATTAAGAAAGTAGTTTGATTTTCTCGTTTTTCTCAACAATCTTCGAGAGCAGGACTAGTAATCTCTACTATGTAAATATTCCGTCGTTTTTCTTTCTATTTGATATTTGTTGCACTACTATCGGTGCCAAAACAGAAGGCCGGTTATTTTTTTTTGAATAACTCAAAAGGAATAAAAGATAGAGACTTGCGGTTTTCATCATTCGGCAGTCAAGATCTGAAGCTATATTTTCATAAGCAAAAAATTTAGAAAAAACTGTTTCACCAGAAACTGAAAATTTTGTTCTGAAGAACACATGCAAAGTAACCTTATTTTCGAAAAATCAAATATCGGTCCGAGTTTAATTATAAACTTTGGCAACAAGATCAAAAGGCGGGAAGTCTATCTTGAGTTTATAATAGATATTATCATAAATAAAATAATGTGCCGTGGTACCTTTTAGCGTGATGTCACCCATGCTATTTCGACTTATTCATTTCACAAAGTTCGTGCCATTTATATCCTTCATGCATTAACCACTCACTTAAACATAATATGAACTCTCTGGCATGTACTACTTTTGACCATTCATCTGGAAGTGCATGTATGCCGTAATATGCTCCAGCTAGCTGACCGTAAATAGCAGCAGTTGTACTTGTGTCATCTCCCAAATTAACCACTTGTAATGCACCTTTTTTAAAGGAACCATCATCGCACCAAAATGCCCATAGTGCAGCTTCTAACGCTGGAACAATATACTGTTTCGCTCGAATACCATCTGCGTAGCCGCCTTTTTTTTAAATGAACCTTTAGCTATCTTTTGAATGTCTGAATGTAATTCAGCTTCGTCACCCTCACCAAACCACTTTTCATTCTTACGACTGAGATAAAACTTCTTGTCTAATAAATCAGTTTTTGAATAGCCCTGTAATGCACCGGCTATTAATGCAGCATAATAACGACAAGCATCTCTGGCACGATCGTCTCTATGAGTGAGAATAGCTGATTCGCCTGCATAACGAATAGCATGAGAGGGAGAACGATAGAAAAACAACGGTATCGGGGCTAAACGCATTAATGGACCACTACCGGCAACGCCTTCGCGGCTACATGATGTTGACTGTTCATCTTTAAATCGTTCTGAGTTTTCAGCACTTAATGAATCCATTTGTTCATAGGATATTTTATGTGTTTTTCCAAACTCTTTTTGTTTAATGATAAAGTTTTGTAATGATTCCCTAGTTGCATTACCAATATCAAAACAATGACCTGTCGATGATATATACCTACGTTAAAGGATCATGAAATTGAAATAAATAAAATGAGAAGAATCTAATAGAATTAACAGCAGTTTTGAATAATTTGCTTTTCATTATTATTTTATCGACGTTTCGGACTTTCAAAGTCCATTTTCAAGATATAAAGATGTTACAATAAAGTTGAAAAGTATGCAAGAGACAAAACCGAGAAAGTAAAAGTGAAATTTAAACATTTGTTCGCTCTTTAACCAATCAGAGAGACAAATACATTTATTATATATCTCTCCAGTTAGTTATGTGCATAACTAACTGCATGCCTCCTCTGTGGTCTAATTCATTGCCACTATTTTATTTTCACTGTGGGTTTGGTCTTTTCTACACCATCAGGAAAAACCACTAGTGGCACAGAAGAAACTGTACGGTTCAGTAATGGTTGTTTATCTAATATTGCTAATGATTCTCTCACTAATAATCGATACTTTGCGTTATCTTTCGCTAGAATTTTCAACGACAACCAATCTATTGTATGTTTAGTTTCTAATTCATGTTTACGTAATGCTGAGTTTGTTGTCGTTACTCCCAAATCAATGTCCTCATGATCCAAATTTGACGGTGAATTCATTTCTTTATAATTTACCTTTTTTCTTGTATTTCTAGCCGACCGTCTAACTTCTTGTGTTGAAGTAGGTGTATCTATCGATAAATGAGACAGAGATGACTGTTTGATTGGTTGAGGCGCCCCATGTTCTTTTAATCTTCTTTTTATTTGTCTGATAGTCTTCCCAATGTACGAAGCTTCACAATCTAAACAATTTAATTGATATACAATATGTGATTGTAAATCCTTGGGTATCAAATCTTTGACAGGGAAAAAAGTTGACACCGAAGGAGATGGTCTTGGAATAGGTTGTATATGAATTTCTGGTCTAACTTTTTTGACTAAATTCATAATTTTCTTTCCAAGAATTTCTGTGTGTTTCCCAATATACGGTAAATTAAGAAATATTTGCTCTTTTTTTGTCACATCTTTAGCTTTTTGTTTCTTCAGTAAAACAGATGTTTGTTTATTTTTTT